CTTACCGTATCTGATCTATCTCATTATCGATGGCTTATTTGAATGAACGAATGGCATGGTGGAGTATGTAAGTGATAAAATTCACATAAGTTTCAATCTGGAGATCGCACAGAGCTAAGCCATCTGCCGATTTGCCTTCCCGAGATCCAGGCCGTGATTGAAGCGCATTCATATGTAGTCGTCAACTTACGACTATTCGTTTTGGCAAGATGAATCAGCAGACAACCCATTATTATTTCGCGAAAGTTTAGCAATTTTTTTAATAAAAATTTGTTTTAACACTCGGCTAAACTTGGAATACAGCCATCAGTACCTTCTTACCGCATTTAATATAATGAGTAAACAAAAGGGCAGACGTTACTGATGTCATAAGAAGCAAAAATCAATATTTTGTAGTTCAGGTATCACTGTTACGGATACTCATTGATCAGTTGCTCTGGGCAGCAGACAGACTTCATTCTAGCTAGAAATTTAACTGGGTATTTCTCGAATTGCGCTATATTCGACCTTTGACGGTTGTTTGAAGGTGCGTTCAGACGCAGGATGATTATTTGTTTTGATTGTTTAGTACTAAAATTATGTAATTGAGGGAAACAAATACGGCCAAACACCTGGTAGCGTTGTCATCTCGGAGATCTCATGCCGCCATATGCCCGCAAGCTACTGCATCTGATTACGTTTTCAACTTTAATTAAAAATCTTCAATCGATATATTAGCGAGTGGCACAGCTTTCGATCCTGTACATCAAAAATATTTCTCTCCTAAAAAAAAAGAAACCTTTCTCTAACTGTAGTAGCAATCTAGCTACGGCTGTGGGAGTCTGGTTTTCCCAATAGAAGGCCCATTACGACACGTATGTATAAAAACGTTTATCAGCTTTGTTAATCGATGACCCCAAGAGAATAATCATTATTACATTACTTCAGTTATCATTATATGTAAAAGCTATAATGGCTTCTACTATGTTCCGTAAACTCTAAAAACACAAACTCCTATTGATACGCTCAAGGAGATCGTCTAGAACGGCTTGTTCTGTTGACGGCATTTACCCTAATTATACGAAAAGTTTAAATTAGAATGCTTATTATGTCATAAATTGGTGCAGTGGAAAGGACTACTGCTATTGCTGACGGAAACTGATATGTCGTTATTTGTACTTGGAGTTAAAGTAAGTTCATGACTGGATAGGTTGTCGTCTAGGTAGAACGTTTCAAGTTCTATAGTTCGGAAAAGGTAGTTACAATGAATTATTGCTTTCCATACTGCGAAGGATAAGCCCACGTGTTGTCCGCTTGTCGACATTTCTATCCTATATTAAATCCTTTAGATAAGCGCACCCTGTATATATTATTACGTCCTAGCCGACTCAGATGAATTCGGGTTGATTTGCAACTTCACGGTAAAGGTCTTAACGGAAATCTTTGTTCTTACATCGCACATTTGTGAAATTCATGTCAGAAACCCATGTATTATATATAATGAAGTTCTGCGATTATTAAACACCAGGTGGTCAAAAGCCAACACTTTTTCCATGATTTATTGAGTGTTTGTATGCCAAATGGACGAGCATTGCCTATATTATGGTAATAGTCAATGTTGATTTGATGGTCTAATTTTCATCATTTTGCTCAATCGAATAGCATAGCTGTTGCGCCGACCAAATAGCAAGCTATAAAGAAAAGTACGGTTAACTTTGGAAAAATGCTTCGCCAACAAAAAAAATCACTTAGATAAAAGAGTGTTTGCCAGAAATGAATTCGTTACCTCTACTTAGACCTATGAACGTCGAGTGTTTTTTGTACCCTTCTGAATTTTCATTCCTGTCAAAGATCCCGGATCGACGTAAGCTAGGCTCTATTTAGGGTGTCCCGTATGTGCGTTGGCTAATAAGGCCGTAACCAAGCACAAGAGAACCCTGTGCGGACCAGGAATAACCTTAAATAGCATTGGGCCTAGCAAAAAAATCACGTCATTCATTGGGCAATGCTTGCTGTGGCTGATGATACATCAGCTTCCTTGTTTGATGTTCAAATTGATGTCCATAGCCCTGCGGGAAATAGGCTTCTCGCGGATGAAACGAACCGTCCTACTTTATGATGTAATTTTTCACGGGACACGACAATTCTTATGGTTATTTCGAATGGGCAAAATCTCACCGTACATATATATACTATAGATTAGCGCTAGCAAACGGCGTTATCTATCTGTTAGTGGTATGTAGAGCATTCGGATAGGTCGTATGTACGTTGACCACAAGCGTGAGAGGTTTTGCTAAGCATCTCACCGAAAATAGGGTGTTCGACAGTTCGGGTTTTAATGGACTAGCTAAACTGATCGATACTGATGTTTATGTACTTTATATAGAATCTATATTAAGTTTATTTCGATTAAAATATGGAAACCTGTATCCTTATAATGCCTAAATTATGTAACAACGATTATTTGTCTTGTTTCGTCAGATTTGATGCAATTCGTATACTGGTTGGTGATCGTGCTCAGATAACTAGAATAGGGTACCCTTAGATGTGCGGCACACTGGCTTAGCTTTGTCATTGATCAACAGAAACGAGGTACTCAAAACAGCTCGCTCTGCGCTTATAAGGCTGTACATGTGCATTTTTTTCGTATAGTTCGCATTTAATCTATCATACCGAATACATGAACGGCTAATAAGCTTGGCCTATCATTCTACTGCGAAAATCGGCACTACGCTTTTTGCGTTTCCACTAAATTTTCCGAAAGCAAAACATACTGAACCTGACGGGTACTTTTAGATGTCGTGTACGTGTCTAAGCACATGTCTGATACATTTCTAACCCGAGCTTAAATGATGTAGTTAGCCTTTGAATGAACGTGCAATGAGTACTGAAGCTGGTTATTTCTTCATTTTTCAACCCCTATGTGCTTTTGCGTAACAACCAGCTCTGTGGGCGATTGAGCTATTGTCCATTCAAGCGTGTAATTTGCAACATAACATGAATGAACTAAAGAGGGTGGAAGTACGGCTTGTTACTAAATCGCCGTTCCTGTCAGATTTCTCATTAAAGTCATGCTTTTAAGAGGATTATCGGTCAAGGAGCGGTACGATAGGCTAGGCGTGGATTTCGTAGGAGGTGCGCGTCTGGTTCACACCCTACGCCAGCTGATGGCGGCCCGTCTTCGACAAAATCTAAATAAAAAGGCGCGATAACTCGGTCTGATCGTTCACAGTCTAATGTCTGCCAGCAGACGAAAGCCAAGAACTTGCGTTCAGGTAGGGTAGCTCGATATGCTACGTCCCGGCGAATTATACATAGATATATTACGTCCTTCGGGATGCAAGATGTCGGAAATTCGTCTGGTATTGCCAGCGCGCGTTCGACTGTGCCAAATATGAAACTAGCAAATACGACCTTGCTATCAGCACGTATCATACTGTTTCGAAGTTACTGGACATAACGAAAAAAGCAATAGATACAAATCCATGTAGAATACCTGTCCGTATATTATAGTACCTAGCATGAAAGGAAAACCTATCGTGTCTGTTAAATGCGACATGTCTTCGAAATACGCAGAGAGAGATTATCAGTAATGCGTCAATACGAGCACAGTTTAAACAAGAACGATGTGGCAATTATGTGTTGCCCCACAATCTACAAATGGCAAATCTTTCTATTGACACCGCCTTTAATCTGACGCCTACTCCGACGACGAGTTTAGGTCCTCACTCTCGGCACGGTATAAAGCCTAACTGCAATCTCCATTTCTCTCGATATATGTGACTTTGCTTTTGTCGTATGGCAGCAGTGTGCTAATGCGTTGGCCGTGTTTCGGCATCTCTAACAAATACACATACGATAAAGGATGTTAAGTTCAATAGTGTACAGTAAAATTTAAGGTCTAGCAAAAGGTAAACACTTTAGCCTACCATGCGTCTCCTTATCGTCATCGCAGCGATTGGTTTAAGCATTAGGATTGACGAAGCAGCGCCCCATCCTGCTTCGAAGAGTATTGATCCTTTGAGGTCAGAGATCTGTTTACGATTTGCTAGGTACACGAAACTATACCGAGCCTTTCAGTGTTACCGCCGAAATGACTCCTCAATTGGTGACAGTATTCAGCGCTGTGGATCGAGGCTTATCAACTTCGCTGAAATGGTTTGCGAAAAGTTCGGTGGTCTTTATGTCGAGCCTTTACGCCGTCAAGGTAATCAACTATGTGTACTTTATGCGTTAGTTAACTGTATTTAAATCGTTCTCCTTTATAGGACTCCTAACGTAGGTGAAACGTGTCGTGAGAAAGTATCGTATAAACACAGCCCAGACAAGCGAAAGTTAACCACAGCTGTTTGATAATAATCATCAATAATAAAAGTTCAGTGCATCTATTCGCGAATCTGATACATCTAATCCTCAATACGATACAGACTTTTGGTATACTTACGGAACTTAAGTTTTCAAATTTTCGTGAAAAAAAATTATGGCATAAAACGTGTCATATGGCACCGAACGTTTTGCACCACATTTTTTTTATTATTATTGTACCATCACCACAGTTGTTAGTAACATCCAAAAATGTTTATAGTTTTGTTTGCAAATTATGTGTTTAACATCTTATTTACATACTTCAGAATCTTTCATAAAATCCTTTCGGTAAATTCGGTGGCCAGATCTTGACCAGAACTACCGACTGATAGTAAACGGCAAGTGGGAACAACAGCAACAACAACAACAAAAAAAACGATTCAAACGTGGTAGCGCAGCGGCTAATGCGACCGATGATGGCCGTAAGCAGAACAGAGACATCTGACGGAATGAACTGCAAGCAATCGTTTAGCGTCAAGGAGCAGTCTTTTCGAGGTAGAGGTCATTCGGAAGCTATGCAGCTTGTGCCATAGTCCTCACCGATATATTCTAAAATAGCCACTTCCCTATATGGGTAGTGTGTAATACAGCTCGGGCAGCAACAGAGCCTTGTAAACAAGCAGAAGGCCTTCACTTGGCGCGCTAATCTCCTTGAATCTCCTCAATGCCGCAATAATGATATAGCACGTACACGTTCGGACCGTGAAGTGATACCGAAACAGTTAATAGCACTGGACAACGAAGTCGAAGTATCATTAAATATGACGTGTCGTACATCGATGAATCTTTCGAGTAAATGAAACGGTGTATTTCTCATTTTATGGGCACTAGCAGCAAAACTTATACTTAAGATCAGTCCGTACGTCGTCAATAACCCTGGTTAACTGATGGTATGAAGAAGCATGGGAGCTAGCGATGATGTGAGAAGAACGAAAATCGCTTGAGAACCAAACTTTGAGATATTACGATGTGTGCTTCTCACCACGCGGGATCAATGTGACCAACCTTTACTGCAAGTCATCTTCTCGAATTAATCGATGGTAATCGGTGCGCAATCTTAAATATTGGCAGGCAGACTGAGGAATTGAAGAAGTTGGAGGCATCCGCACTGCCTGGAAACACATCAAGACAGACCTACCTACCTCGTCTGCTCAGTCGAATAAAACCTCGAAAAACAAAAGTGAATTAGTAAAAAAATGTTTGGTACCTTTAAAACCCGCCAAGTCTGCCAATCACGAACTGAGCGAAAAACATGAACAGGTGGTCCACAGAAGATATTGGACGGTAGTTAGCACCCCGGATTTGTCCTTTATTCTGAGATGGAAAAGTAAATTTCGGGTCCTTCAATCCCAGGAAGGACCCGGCCGGAGCACATGCGAAGAGATATGTTGTTCTACGATATGCTGACTATACTGTTTACAAGTTTACAACGGATCGTTCAGAACATTAGCAGTTTCGTAGCACCATCAATTTCGCCTCTAGTTTCCGGAGTCATGTGGATGTTAAGCACGCTAACGGAATCTAGCTCGGTTCATCTATCAAATCTATGTCATCTTTGTCCGAACGTGAACACGGACATTGGAAGTGGTAACAGTGATAGAGCTAACGGTTGCAACATGTCTGTTAAGTTCATCAGCTATCCCCATGAGGATTCTATGTCTAAAATTCAGAGAAAACCGTTTCTCTACTAAAAGACTCTCCAATAAATCTTTACAAATACCGAAAATCGACGCTATTTGTACAACTTGTTGATATTGTGCCCAAGCCGACATGATTCAGGTAAGAATTCAGACTTGTTTGGCTCGCAAACTGAACTCTCATCTTCAGACATAGCGGAAATATATCATATTTGTAATAAATCTGACTACGGAATGCTTTGGAAAAAAACAGAGTTAAAATCTTCTGCACCGTAGACTGGAAGCCTGCAATATTCTACGCTCGACCCGTAAGCAAGTCTGCAAATGACCTGTCAAATAGCCTGGTGAGCATGGGCTCTGGCGCAGGTCTGCTTGAAAGCGACGAAGGGCTCCTCTCATGCATAATAACAACGGGCAATTTGTCAAAGAAAAGTGATGTTAAAACCGCAGAGGGAGCGCATGGAGCTTGTCACACTTTGTCACAACTGTGGTCATCACGAGTCCTTGAAGATGGATGAGTTAGTTCAATTGTCATAAACGTAGCGACAGTCTCTGGGGAACGCCATATCATCTTCTTCATACCGAAAGGATTTACGCTCAAACCATTTAAAAACAAGCAAGTGAGAATATAACTCGTACAAACAACCTCATTAAGAGCATCAAGCTACTACGAAGAAAATAATTGAAGTAAAAACCATGCAGTCGTTGAAGTCTGAATTTATCTTCATTTGTAGACGGAATGTCTGAACGTTCGCTGCTTTTTTTTTCTGTTGAAAGTGTGGTACAACCTGACTCTACGGAGATTTCCATTTTGCCACCAGGACTTGCCGATCCATGGTCACAGGCGAAGAAACTAAAGCAAGAAATATTACAGCTGGTATAATCAACGCTTTCGAACCATGATCGGCTTACAGCACTTACAATATCAAGTCTAAACCCCCCATCTTCGACGAAAGCACTTTGTTGTCGAAATCACAAAGTTGTGCTGACTTAGAAAGCCAGCATAGATCTTTTTGTCCCAGAAGTAATTACTAACGATTTACAAAATATCATGAGATATTAGAGTTGAATGTTTTAATTATACTGAATTTGTTTATTACGAACCAGACAAAAGTGACTATAGTTTCGCGCTGATGTTAAGTATGATGGCCATCAATGGATTGACGGCATCCACAAGGTCTTACATCCATTTGGCAGCGTTAGGACACGCTGCTTTAAAAACTCTAAGGGCTGTGTCTACAGATATGCTCATAAGTTTCATGTTTTTGTAAATTTTACTATCTAAGTTGACTATGTAATTTTACTACGATTTATCCGATGCCCGAGACACTTAATGATTTTCCTCACACCGATAAAACGGATTTCGGTGAAATGGAAACAAAAACGACAAAATTTTTCTTAGTTTGTTTCCCGTTGAGATCCCAACTTTAACAGTTCTCACTGTGGCGGTATACGACTTGTGTTGGACAGCTAAGCTAGACGGATCTGTCAAGGTGTTCAGTTGGGCTTCTGATGAAGGTGGGTCAGCCATTTTGACAGTGGATGGTTGAATCCCATTTGTTGGGAGAGTCAAAATTCTACCCACGTCTTCCGTGTTTTACTTTCATACGATTAAAGTGGACAGAGTGATGAAGCTACAGAATGAGCTTGTTTACAGTTAACAGGTTTAGGTGCACTCCCACAACTGACAGCCATGTAACCGGACTGATCAGACTTCTTACAATCATTCTGCTTCGGGGTACCGCAGGCACGTGACCTACCTTTTCCGCGTATAGAAAGAGATCGGCGCTCCATCACACATTGTGATCTTGTGATTTTTTCTATGCCAGAAATATTTTACTCAGCCAATGTTGCCGAACCGTAGAAGAACGTTGTACGCTAAAGTTCTAAAAAATTAACTTCCAGCTACTTCTTCGGAACTATTTGAAGTTGACAAGATCGTCTTCTGCTTTATTTGTATTACTAGTCCCGCCACCCTTATGTGCCAGTGACGAAATTATGTATTGACTCGGATGCAGAAAATTATATAATTTTCTTCGCATCCTCTAACGTGTCCGTTCATAAATAAATCAAACAGAATCTGGACTCTAGCGTGGAATAAAAGTATACTCTAAAGACGTTATTTCGTAGTGACAACAGATTTGCCCAAACCCGCCTGATGGTGTTGTTATTTTTCCAAGGATCTTGTATACCCCTTGCGCCGCCATAACAGAAAATAGTCCCTCTGGGACCTTAACGACCTGTCCAGGAATTGTATATATTTGGAAATTTGCTTTTCCTGTTTTGTTCGCTTTGGTCATGCGGACCACGTAATTTAGCCCTTCGTTAGTGTCAAAGGTTAGCCGCCGTCTGCGCACTTGTTCTCTTGAGCCCTATCTGATTGTACTGGCACGCTTCAGTACCGTTGTTCTCTAACAGAGAAACAGTAGGGCAAAACGCTAGTTAATCTGCCAATTTTGCTGCCTTATGTTTTTCCTTAAGTCTTTGTCAGCCTCAGCGGGAGCCTTGGTTATTAGCACGGTCTTAGTACAAGTGGTTTCTTGGGGCGTTGCCGCCCCTCTACGGGCCCATAGTTGATGCGGAAGAGCGAACACCTGCCGGATATGCACCCACACTGCACAACCGGCCGAATCCTCCACTCAAACTATACCCATGATCTGGCAATACCCTCACAGTGTGGCAACAGATGCCCCCCGAGACCGAATATCCGCGATTTCCAGTTTCAGCATTCAAGCATATAACGCTTCGAACAATAATTAGGGGTGCCGATTCACTAGGAGCAGCGGACAACGGGCAGCCATTGCTAATTTTAGTACGGAATCCGCGACTACCACGTTGGAAAGTTCGACCCTCTACGACACATGATTTTCGACCCTTCATGATAATACGACTTTCTGCACAGTTAGTTATCTTCCACCGATGTTTGTTACGTTAGATCAAGTTCGAATCGAATCATACCATTACACAGATTAGTTGATCAGTCCCGCAAAGCGTTGTATTTTAGTAACGAGGAATACAGCGTATGTGTATACGTATGCGTAGACAGTACAGCAGAAACAAACAACTAACGGTAAATTTTTATCGGTAGATAATTTTCATTTCGATTTCTGCCCATACGTTTGCAGAACCATGGGGTGGTACAACAACTGATCCATCTACCGCCGTCACCGTTCCGACATCTGCTTCCACCTCTCATGCAATATGTCGCCACCGGAAACAAAGCCTTGTATGTGAATGCTGCAAATTAGGCCCATGTAACATTCGCGAAATCCTTAGCTACTGCAACAATCCACCCTCAGACGCAGAAAAACGAATCTATCAAACCGACATAATGGGCCTCTTCTCATAGCTTCGCCGGTCAATGTGGTTATGATTATGGCGGAAATCATATATTTACTATTTGGAGAAAACGCTGTAAGTAAACCGACCGATTTCTGAAACGGGTTTTTCAGCACGGATCAGCATACATTTTTATGTTTAGTCATTCGTCAAAATGATGAGCTTTTAAAAGTAAAAGATAGAACCTCTTGAACGCGTTGTAGGACACTGTGAACCGCAAACCAAGGCTCATAAGTGCTTTGATGGTTTCCGTCTAAATAATGGTCTGGCTGATATCGGTTTTATGGGTACAAGGAGAAAATTACTCATCTGAAGAGGAATGTATTTGATTAAGAAACAATGTTTAATTGATAAAGGTGAACATAATACTCATGACGAGTATTAGGGTTGAAATATTACCGAAGAGTTTCGAAGTGTTTCTAATTCTGCGTAAATTGTAAACGAATAATAACAATCGAATTGGATGGTTAACGTCCTTTCAGTTATAATTAGGTGCAACCTAGGCATGCGCAGCTTATATTTCCACGCTCTGACCTGTGTCTGAAATAAACAAAAAAATATACTCATATATCGAGAATCGGTTAAACCGGTTAAGTCATAAAATGCAGTATTTTCACTCTTTGCCAGTTCCTCTCTGTTTTTTTTTTTTCTATACCGTATATTTTTCATAAAACGTCCAACATGTGTTCTCTAGGTAGATCATCGAAGTAATTTACTAACCTAACCTAACCTAACCTAACTAGTTGATCTGTTTTTCGTCAAAATATTAGCTCGCTAGAGATGGGCCTGGATAACCCAACGCATTCAGAAGTGATCTTACAGGCATTAAGGTTAGCTTTAATCATGCGCTCGTGTCAATACACTTTTTCTAGGATAGATTCAGTGTGAAAATGTTATCTAACTATACTTTCAGACGCCTATACGAAATGGAAAGTAATTCAGATAAACAATAACTTCACAAATGACACTCTACGTCGTTCGAAAACATCTGGGGCCAGATTTCTGAAGTTGTAACTAAAGGCAAGTTGCTATTACATCAGTTGGCCCACTATCGTGGCTACCTACGATAGGGTCATACATGTTTCAATAAGTTAGAATCAATTCGTAAAAAAATTCCAGGCTCACTTAGCTAACACTAGGTTCTTCAATCTGGGATCCTGTATTTTTGTATGATCGATCACCTAAAAAAATGCGTAACAGCAGCGAGGATCTATGATAAATTAAAATACGTTTTTCTCGTTTGTACTACGAATAATTAATCTGTAGATAGTTATCGTTATTGTTCCAATATCATTCTGATTACTGGCGGCGAGAAGTTATGTAACATAGGGAAACAGAGAAGTTTCCAAGTTACACTTGTTATTCTACACATTTAAAAAACACGTGTGAGTTGCGCAGGATGAAGACACCCATTTGTGGGTTGTTTTTCTGTAGAAACATTTGTAAGGTAAGGAGCATAACCGGAGGCGAATTTAAAGATCACGAATCTACTAGACATAGCAAAAATGGTAAAAAAGTTTTGAATATTTGCAATATCTAGACCCCATTGGGTTAGAGGTTATAGTAAGTAAAGGGTAAAAATTACACCTGGAATTCAACAGCGCACGAGGTTTACTGAAGTTCACCTTTCTCTATGATCTCACTATCAGTTATTAATCCGTTATAGCAAATTCGAGGGGTATCTGAAACGCATTTAGCGAAAATTGCCATCTACAACGGAAGCGTGGTAATCGTTATTTTACATAAAATAAATATAGACGACGTTCTACTTAAGGAAAATTGCGCTCAACACTTAAATGCAACTCTTTTAAACAACGTACACGTTCGGCATTGGGTGTAGCGCCTTGTTCTTTTCTAGATAACATAAAATAAAAAATCAGTAGGACATATAAAGCTCAAGGCTGGTAATGATGACAGTACAAGAGTTAGCTTGCCAAGCGTTACAATATTTATAACCTATTTAGTGAACTTAAGAAGCACAAAAGTTATTCAACTATACATACTTTTATCATAGCAGTTTCAACTTCAATACCGTCCTTTAAGTGTGGGCTAGCTTTGGTCGGGCTTACGTATTAAGATAAGACTATCAAAAGCATCTTCCTTCGGAATATTCCCTCAAGTTGACTCAGTATTTTGAAGACAGTACTTCATTTACTTGCATACGAAACGAACTACCGGTATGATTAACGTAAGTTGCGTAACGTCGAAGCACTCTAGGCTGCTCATACATTGAACCTAGTGATATCAGACCCAATCAGTTTCAACATCCTGTTTTTCCTTCAATGTACAAATCGATAGGTGCAAGTTAGTAAACCTTCTTGTTCAAACTCTTCAGAAAAGTATGAAGGCTTTAAACACATAGAGCTATTTCATCGACTCGGAACAAGCAAGAACACCTTCCAACCGGATACTCGCAGAAGCAACGTTGACATCTCAGTGTAATTGAGAAACTATCTTCATTTTCGATGTTAGCTGCCCCCCGAAGTACGTGAGACGGCTACTTAAAAACTAGAAAGGCGAACAATTTACTAGCATGCGCGAAAACCCTCCTCTTGGAATGATTTCTCAAAGGGGATTTCTCCCATTTCAACTTACTGATTGCTCTGTCACTCCTTTTCTAGTAAATCAATGCGATAAAATGAGAAAAGTGACGATATAGGACCATTACGTTGACGCCGTGGTTTATTGTCACTTGACGCATGAACTACACGGCGCCGAGGCAGTTAATCAGGTTGAACAATGAATACGACGAATTATCGGTGGTCCAGACTATCTAGTGAGTTTCCGTCTGGAGGCGGAGGAGAGGACAGGAACGCGATAGAGCACCAAAGTGAAAACGCTCTTGCGTCGCCTTCATGAGGTACCGTCGGCAGCGATCGTTATTACCTGCGACACGCACTAGCTGCTCACCCTGTTTTTTGTCTACTCTATTGACCAGACTACTCGAAGTTGTTTTATTCGTATTTTATCCAATAAGGGGATTTATCCTCTTCACTAAAACCCTTCTTGTAAGTTTACCCGTAGAGTTGTTTTGTTCCTAGGGGCGTATTTAAGCTGGAACGAAGTACCACAACCTCTATTGAATACTGTTGACTCGGAAGTAAAATAAGGAGTTACCTATTTTCCGTATCCGTTACCTGGCAAACAAACCAGATGATTTATTTTCTTGCGGAACATCGAGTTATGATTATGAACATCCCCTCTTTAGACCACTGAATGATTTTTAGCTTCAGCTACGCCGGCTGCAGAAACTGCAAGAACATATTTCTCAATGTATGACAGCTTCTAACAGGCGATTACGTACGACTGCAGAAGCTTGGACTTCATTTCCATCCTGACGGACGCGACTACATCAGCACGGCAGTCGTTGGAAGACTGTTGATTTTCAAACCAGACTCTCGGATAGTCCAAATGTAAATCAGACGTTTGTTTGAAGCGTAGACCGCTGCCAGGGGTCAATGCTGGCAGTAGGTCAGACAAGCAAATTTAATCATGGTCCATTTCGACCTCGAATTTAATAATCGGCAAAAATTTATACAAGAATTACTTTAGCAACCAAACCGCGCTACACTATCAAGTGGTACAAGAACTGACGATCAATATCGTAACTGACTACCTGCTTGCTCTAATTATATTGGACAGCCCTTATACGCCGAATCAGATGTTGAACACATCGGAATTATGTCAGACACCAGCCTCGTACGAATGGGTGCATTGTTTTCATTACGATTATGGTCTTTCGTTGTCACAACAAATCCTATCAAAATGTACGTATTTCACGTTTTTGGTTGTTTATGTTAATTTCAAGTCATTTCTCAAAGTTCTTGTAACAAATGCAAAGGTTAAGCGTCACCTATCTACCAAGCTGGTCCGCTTTCATGGTCAAGCAAAGTCTAATTAATGGGCATTAGGATCATGTACAACAGTACTATGCCCCATTGCAAATTGCACGGGGGTTAAGATAAATGATCTCTGAGACAATCACATAACTATATTTACCATTCAAGTACAAAATGCATCTTTAACCACGACGGAACCTTCTACCGATCTAATCTATAGTCAAATTAGTTGCGTCCTGAAGGCTCCGGGATTTTCATTAGATTGTCCTATCGGCAATAGGAAAATTTCTTCCTGTTAATTTTCATTTAACGTAAATTTTCATCGCATTTTTTGCTAGTACAGTCGACAGTGTCATCCGTTCGTTGCTTGTTTAATTTTATCATTCTTTTCACCGCATGTTAATTACGTAGCGTCTTCTCATTGTGATTCATCCGAACGCCTCTACCTGATGACAGTATTCAACTTCGCGACGATCGTCCGAAAGTAATATAATAAAGCTGCGTACGGACTATGAAGGAATCGTTCGCAGAAGGAAACTCGTCATACGAAAAGAAGATTGTAAGAAGATTACTTAAACTGAGAACGTCATATCCACAAAGGGTAGTGAAGGGAGCGACGGTTAGAATCAACAATCAGTCGTTGCTTCATGTGATCTGACTAGACATTATAAAGGGGAGACCAGCGACGTTTCGTGGCGTGGCGAGCGATAATTGTAAGTTTATAAAATTAGCGCCACAACAAAGAGCCCACTCGAGTTCCCACCAACTTCTGAATGACTCGGTATCCTATAACAAGTCAGCTTATTGTCTGTGTTATACGACTCGCTGATCTCTAACGGAACATGGACGATACGGTGAAAATTTCTGTTTGCGAGCTTCAGCGACACTTAGTTCCGAACGAGTACCAAGGTTGCGCGTCATTTGCCCTCGAACAACGCGTACGATTTCGTTACCGTACTGAGGCTATGTATCTATAAATGTCAAAAACGATGCCAGACAGTCATATCCCTGCCGTGTCAACTGGCGACACCTGCATAGCTAGCAGAAGCTAGCGCGTCATAACCCGATGCGCCATACTTATTGTGGTTTTGAAATGCAATGCAATGAAACATCTTAATATACATAACATTACTGCAATCAATAGGAAATAAACGCGGCTTTTTTTCTTCAAGCGAAATATATTCTAGTGTCTTTCTTTATGTGTTCATTGGTTATTTAATTAAGTATGGCTCAAAATGCAGGCCATCGATAGAAAGCACTAAATATTGATATTGTTATAACATAGATAAATTAAGGTTTGACCGCTCGTGTCCATGTGGATCGTTCCAACATATCGTACGAGCTATTGACGGAGGTTTTGCATGATGTTTGTCCGCGCTCTGTTCTGGTGATCGCGTCACCTCAGTCCTCCTGTAAGCGTACACGATCGTGTCTGAATGAAGCACATTTAACGTGCACGCACAGTAACAACGGGACCTTTCGAACCACCTATTCATTTAACTGATTTTGTGCATTCAGCTAATACATCTTTGGTGCTTACTCTATTGCCTTGCATTAGTTAAGAACACTGTAGATCGAACCTACGGGTAGCTGCGAAAGTCTGCTTTTTACTCATGATAACCTAGCAAGTTGTACATAGCTGATTTTTATTGAACGAAAATTGTCGCCATTGACAAATATGCGTCTTCGAAATCGATCAAAGAAAGCATGAGTCCCCCGTTTAGAGAATTGTTCATTTTGAC